TCTCATAGGTCCTACCTCACAAAACTTTAACTCAGCAATAAGCTGTTTTAGCCATACAAGTTCACATGAGGTATTGGCCATTGCTCGATATTCAGCTTCAGCACTTGATCTAGCAACAACATTCTGCTTTTTACTCTTCTAAGCAATTAGGTTGCCTCCAATCAATACACAATATCCTGAAGTTGATCGTCTATCACTTGGGCAGCCAGCCCAATCCGCATCTGTGTATGCAACAATATCAGTATGGTCTCTGTTTTCATAGACTAATCCTTTTCCAGGGGAACCTTTGATGTATCTCAGGATTCGAATCACTGCATCCCAATGACTATCACGAGGGGAGTTAAGAAATTGGCTTATAACACTGACCGGAAAAGATATGTCTGGCCTAGTCATAGTAAGATAATTCAATTTTCCAACTAGTCTTCGGTATTGATTTGGATCTGAATACAACTCTCCCTGATCCGACATAAGTTTGACATTTGGATCCATAGGCGTATCAACTGGCTTACAATCCAACATTCCTGTTTCTTTCAAAATATCAAGAGCATATTTTCTTTGAGATATGGCGACACCAGTTTTTGATTGAGCTACTTCAATCCCAAGGAAATATCGCAATCGACCCAAGTCCTTAGTTTGAAAATGTTGAAACAAATGCTGCTTGAGTCGGATGATACCATCATGATCATTGCCTGTGATAACAATATCATCTACATAGACAACAAGATAAATGCACTGGTTAGTAGAAGAATGTTTATAAAACACAGAATGGTCTGCCTCACTACGAGTCATCCCAAACTGTTGGAGAACTGTACTAAATCTCCCAAACCATGCTCGAGGACTTTGTTTAAGGCCATATAGAGCCTTACGTAACTTGCAAACAAATCCTTGGGACTCCCCCTGAGCAACAAAATCGGGAGGTTGCTCCATATAAATCTCTTCTGCTAGATCACCATAGAGAAATGCATTTTTGATATCGAGTTGGTAGAGGGGCCAGCAACGTGTGGCAGCTATGGATAAGAAGAGGCGAACTGAAGTCATTTTTGCAACAGGTGAGAAGGTGTCGCCATAATCAAGGCCAAAAGTTTGTGTATAGCCTTTAGCGACTAATCGGGCTTTAAGTCGATCAATTTGTCCATCTGGACCCACCTTAATGGCAAACACCCAACGGCAACCGACAGTAGATTTCCCAAGAGGAGATGGAACAAGTGTCCAAGTCTGGTTAGATTCTAAGGCCTGCATCTCATCAATCATAGCCTATCGCCACCCTGGATGGGAAAGTGCTTCCTGGACTGTTTTAGGAATAGTAACAGAGGAAATAGCAGACACGAAGGCACAATGGGAAGAGGATAAATGATGATAAATCAAGAAATTATAAATGGGATAAGGATTTCGAGTTGAACGTGTACCTTTGCGAAGGGCTACTGGCAAATCAGCAGGTGTGTCAGATGGATCCAAAGTAGGTAGAGCAACTGGCGTAGGAGATGGGCTGCCTGAATCTTCCAAAACTACGTCTTCTAGTGAAACAGGACGAGGTCTACGCTGGTATGTAGCCAGGGGACGAGGAATAGTAGGTGAAGAGGGATTAGGAGGTTCTAGCACATCAGAGAATAAGGGATTAGTGACAAGGGGAATATAGTAAGGAATGGGAAGAACTTAAGAAACTGAGTTTGAAGAGACTGATGTGGTGAAATATGGTGTGTCTTCAAAGAAGGTGACATCGGCTGACATATAGAAGCGATGACTGGATGGGGAATAACACCTGTATCCTTTCTGCACCCGAGAGTAACCCAAAAAGAGACACTTAATAGCACGAGCAGATAATTTGTCAAGTCCTGGAGTGAGATCATGGACAAAACAAGTGGAACCAAAAACATGTGGGGGAACCTTAAACAGAGAGTCATTAGGGAATAAAAGTGAATGAGGTACTTTGTTATTTAAAGCAGAGGATGGCATCCTATTTATTAAAAAGGTTGCTGTAAGGACAGCATCACCCCAAAATTTTAAAGTTACATTAGCATGTAACAAAAGAGTTCGAGCAGTTTCAATAATATGACGATGTTTTCTTTCTGCAATGCCATTTTGTTGTGGGGTGTGTGGACAAGCGGATTGATGCAACATGCCATAAGAAGTCATAAAATGATTAAAAGGTGCAGAAAAATATTCTTTGGCATTGTCACTGCGCAAGATTCGAATAGAACGACCAAACTGTGTTTGAATTTCATTGCAAAAATTCTGAAAAATTGTACATAATTCTGAACGTTCTTTCATTAAGAAAATCCAAGTACATCTTGAGTAGTCATCAATAAAAATAACAAAGTACCTATGTCCTAAGATAGAATTAACACGACTCGGACCCCACACATCTGAATGGACAAGATCAAATGGAGATTTTGCTTGACCATGGACAGCACTTGGAAAGGAGGCTCGAATGTGTTTACCTAATTGGCATGACTCACACTCCATAGAATGTAAATGAGAGAGGTGAGGAACCATGTGCTTCACTTTATTTAGACCTGGATGACCTAGGCGACGATGCAAGAGAAGGGGGGAATCTGCAACAGTGCAGACAACTGAGGTAGTGGGTTGGAAATAATAAAGACCATGCGATTCAAATCCTACTCCAATCGTCTGTCCCGTACTCCGGTCTTGTAGAGAGAAAAATTCAGCAGTAAATGTTATGGAACAGTTATGAGTGCGAGTAAGTTGACTTACTGAGACTAAATTAAAGGGGCAACCAGGTACAAGAAGAACAGAATTCAAGGATAAATTAGGAAGAGGGGTAGTTCGTCCAATGCCAATGGCATTAGCTTTTGAGCCATCAGCAAGGGTGATGTGGTGTGCTGTTTTAGGTTGTGACAGTTTTGAGAAAAGAGAAGGATTACCAGCTATGTGGTCAGAAGCACCAGAATCTAATATCCAGGGTCCAACAGACGATGAATGAGAGAAGCAAATTGTAGAGTTACCAGATTGAGTAGTGGCAGAGGAAGATTGTTGTGATGCTATCTTTAGCTGGAGGTACTCCTTGTACTCCATATCTGACAGAATATTTTGGTTGTCTCCTTCATGGTCAATTTGCTATTTTCACAGCGGAAGGCTGAGAATACGTCACATTGGCTGATTTCTCGGGAAACCCAATCAAAGAATAATACTTATCTTGAGTGTGGCCCATACGTTTACAATAGGAGCACTGTGGACGATTTCCAAAACTGCGACCTCCTCTTCCACCACCTCGACCACGACTTCGACCTCCACGGCTGATCACATTAGAGAAGAATGCAGAAGACTCCAAACCTGGTTGGGAACCATTTCCTATCATAGTTTCCGGAGAGGGAACACGCAGCAGACGATCAATGAGATTCTCTGCTGTAGGTACATTGGAATTTGTCAAAATTTGGTTCCAAACAGATTCAAAATCTTTGTGAAGGCCATGAAGGATGAAGACCATGCACATGTTATCAATCTTGTCTAAGACTTTTTGAAGGTCATCACCTGTCAAGACCAATTTTACTTCATCAATGGTGGACTGTGCTCTGTTCAAATATGATGGGAGAGCGTGATCTGTCATTTTAAGTGCAGCTAAATTATGTACAACATCATAGAGACGCTGAACATCATTTGAATAGACACTACGAGCTTTCTTCCATATATCGTAACATGTCTTATAAGTGCGAAAGTGGACTAACAACTTTGGATCAATGGAATGCCATAGAAGTGAAACTAACTGATAATCAGCCTTCTTCCACTGATCTCGTTCAGTGGAATTAATGTCACTTGCTGTCTTAGTCAAATGGTCAGAGAGACCTTGACCCAAAAACCATATTTCCACCGCAGCTTGCCAATCCATATAATTTTTCCCATTAAGTTTCTCTGAAGTTATGGATGGATTTCCAAAGAAGACAAAGGATACTGGATTTTTGTTTAAGGGTTCAGTGCTGTTGATGAGGATTTGGACCTCATCAACAAATCTTGAAATGAAGATTGGTGCAAGTATGATACGGGGATTACAAACCGCTTCATTTTCTCTCCAACATAAATTGCAAGGTAGCCCTTTGGCACGTCCAAAGCTTTTGAAGATGCTTGGTTTGCAGCAAATGATGCCCTTCTGATGCCAGGTAAACGAAAACCCATTGTTATATGTCCTGAAACGAGACTCGCCTAAAAGAGGCTTGTTTAGAAAAAGGTGAGTTTATGAGTTTCAAATGCCTCAGGATGTGAGTGATTGATTTAGTTTGCTCCTGAAGTCTTGCAGCTATGAATATATATAGATGAAAGAATGATTTGTCAAGAAAGGCTATCAGATGGGAATCATGGGACCAACTAGGAGACAAGGGCATATGCTGTTGTCTTAAAAGACATTCTACGTAACATGTTATAGTAGATAATACAAGTCCCACCTTCTGGAGCCAAGACCAACAGATTAACCCACTTGAAACGAAGTATACGCATCTATAAGAGTCTAGTTGGATTGTGTGGAATTTATTTATTCAAAGTTGGTCCTTTGCTTGCCTCCAAACACTGTTTCAAAGCTATCAATTACAACCAGCTAATGGTTTACTGGTTGGTACATGGTAGATGTATGTATCAATAACATTGTCATCTTATCTAAAGCAACATGTGAGGTGTCTAAAGCATGTCTTTCATTGATGTAGCTATACTCAATGAATGAACAAGCATCAAGTACACCTTCGCTAATTATTTAATTTTAAGGGGGTAAATCTGTTGGCCATTATCTCAGAAGGTGGGGTATACACTCTTGTGTATTTCCTAGTCCTTGAGAGAGATCTCTAAGGCAATACCATGTGATCCCTTGTCTCTTTGTAGACCACATCACTGCCCTGTCAAATATCATTAATTGTTGAGTTGGATTGGAGAGGCCGTTAACAATTATATATACATTATTTCTTAAGTTCTCAAGCAACACAAGTCATTTGCATGCTGAAGAATCAGAATTCAAATATTTCTTCCCAATACAAGTCCTTCGATATCTTTTCACGAAAACAATGGGTTTCGGCATACGAAGTATTATTAGACGGGCATCATTTTCTGCTGCCCAAGCAGCTCCCAAGGGACTTGAAGTCCCAAAAGGATATCTTGCAGTCTACGTTGGAGAAAAAATGAGGCGGTTCGTGATTCGAGTATCATACTTGAACCAACCTTCATTTCAAGAATTACTAAGTCAAGCAGAAGAAGAATTTGGATATGATCATCCAATGGGGGCTCTCACAATTCCATGCAATGAGGATGAGTTTCTAAACCTCACTTCTCGCTTGAATGAGTTCTAAATCATGCTGGAGAGTCAGATAGATTAGTTGAGGCAAATTTGTACAGAAGGAACATATTTTTATTGGGAAGATTTTCCATTTTTTTTTTCTCCTTGTATTATCCAACAGAAGTTGAAAAATTTTACCTGAATGAGAATGTTAAGATGAGACATTTACAAAAACACCTTTTGCTTTTGCCAAATGTTAATGATTTCTAATATATATACAACAGTATCATAATCAAATTTCAGTGGATATATATCAGTTTATCTTTGTCATAGAGAGATAAAGTGCAGTAATTCTTTTGGCGGTATTCACCAAACATGATAGTAGTCCTTACTGCTATTGCTGCCCGGCCTATTGTATTTCAATGTATGTCTTTGTGCCCCTGTGCTATCGGAAGAAGGGGAAAAAATGAAGTTTTAGACATCTATGTCGAAAGTGGGTGTTAAATAATAATAATAATAATAAATCTGCTGTGTTTTCCTTTAAAGCATAAAAGAAATAATGTTGCGTTTCAAACTTGATGCCAAGTTCAATGTTACTTTGGACCTGGCTAGGCAGGGAAGGCACTTAATGTATGATTGTGGCTCAAAATTTTAATTCAAAATATATATTTTTTAGAATAAATATTTATTCAAGGTCCTAGGATAAAGTTGTTCAAGGGAGTATAATTTACTTCCTTTAAAGAATAGCCAGTATAGCATGCATTGGTATTCCGTATTTCCATAGACATGTATGTCACGTTTTCTTTCATATTGATAATGCAGCTCAATGCTAGGATATAGCTGCCAATTGCCAACTAGCGTCTGCTTCAGGATGTAAATACATCATGTAGTAAATATCAGTTCTGTTGAATGAAGATAGCAAATACTATAAAACATAAAACAGAACCATAAAACAATATAAGGAGAAGAGTGGAAAGGGAAGAATAGAGCTATTTTTGTTTTGCTGCATGACCCATTCTGTTCTGCAACCATGCATTAATATTTTAGTGTAAAATACATTAGAAAAATAACCCATCATAATACTGATTGATACACACTGCAGCAAAAAGGCCATGCACCCACTAACTAAGAGTACAAATCTACCCAAAATACAAGCAAACTAAAACCACCAATCATAACATTACTTACTAACACAAGCAAACATATTACAGCAAGTAAACATAATTAAAAAAGTAAATAGTAATTAAAAAGTTTTACAGCTCATTAAATTTAACACTCCTCCTTAAAACTTTTCTTGAACACTCCAAGCTTGTTCCGCTGCTCATTAAACATGGCACATGGAAGTGCCTTAGTAAAAATGTCTGCATTTTGCTCCTCAGATCTACAATAAATCAGTTGAACATCTCCATTCTTCTCAGCTTCTCTTATTGCATGAAATTTGACATTGATATGCTTGGTTCTCCCATGCTGAATTGGATTTTTGGCAATAGCAATGGCTGAATTATTGTCACACCATAGCTCCATAGGCTCCTCTTGCACATGATTCAACTCATCCAATACCTTTCTAATCCAAATAGCTTGATTTGAAGCAGCTGCTGCAGCAATGTACTCTGCTTCAGCTGAAGATTGAGCAACTACATCTTGCTTTTTGGAGTTCCATGAAAACACCCTGCTTCCAAGTGAAAAGACAAATCCGGTTGTGCTCTTTGAATCATCAATAGAACCAGTCCAATCACTATCAACATAACCTTTAAGCCTTCCATCTCCTTTGCAGTACCAAATACCAAAATTAGTTGTACCTCTCAAATATCTCAACACTCTTTTGCCTACACCAAAGTGTGTTAAACTTGGTGAATGCATGAACCTTGAAAGCAAACTAGCAGAGAACATCAAATCTGATCTAGTTGTAGTCAAGTAAAGAAGGCTGCCAACTAAACTTCTATATTGAGTTACATCAACCTTTGCATCACCATCATTCTTTGAAAGCTTTTCATTAATAGCAAGGAGAGTTGAAACAAGATTACAACTCTCTAATTTGAATTTTTTGAGCAAATTAGTAGCATACTTTCTTTGTGAGAGAAAGATTCCATCATTGAGCTGATGCACTTCCATTCCTAAAAAATATTTCATCATTCCAAGATTTGTCATTTCGAAAACCTAAAACATGCTCCTTTTAAATTTGTCAATTTCATCAATATCATCACCAGCAACTAGCAAATCATCAACATAAAGTGAAATAACAATTTTCTTCTTATTGCCACAATCTTTAACATAAAGAGTGGACTCATTTTGACTCCTCCTAAAATTATTTTTCAGAAAGTGTGAATCAATTTTGCTATACCAAGCTCTTAGAGCTTGTTTCAGCCCATACAAGGCTTTGTGAAGCCTATAAACTTTATCTTCATGACCTGCAATAATAAAACCAGTAGGCTGCTCAACATAAATTTCTTCTTCCAAAACTCCATTTAAGAAAGCTTATTTGACATCTAAGTGAAAGATTTTTCACCCATATTGAGCTGATAGAGCAACAATTAATCTAACTGTTTCATGCCTTGCAACAAGCGCAAATGTATCTCCATAATCAACTCCAGCCATTTGAGAATATCCCTTCACAACAAGTCTAACTTTATGTTTATGAACAGAACCATCAGGATGCAACTTGGTTCTATACACCCACTTCACACCAATAACATGCTTGTCCGTAAGCCTTGAAGTAAGTTTCCAAGTACCATTTTTGTTTATCATATTCAACTCCTCCTTCATTTCATCTTTCCATTCTATTTGCATGAAAGCCTCTTCAAAAGTAGAAGGCTCATTCACAACAAAATTACATTTTTCATAAATTTCAGCCAAAGACTTTGTTTTCAAAATTGGGGAATCAGATTCAGCAACCTGATCTTCATCATCATTTGTATCTTGCTGCTGGTCAAACTTCAAACTTCTTTGAACTTCATTATTTTCTCAATCCCAATATGCATTCTCATCAAATTGAATATCTCTGTTGATCACAATCTGTTGTGACTTGAAATTATACACTCTATAACCTTTAGAGTGTGCAGCATAGCCTAAGAAAATCTCCATTTCAGCTTTATCATCTAATTTGGTTCTTTTAGCTGTTGCAACATAAATATAACATATTGAACCAAAAACTTCAAGTGTTTGGCAGAGGGCTTTACTCTCATCCATGCTTCAATTGGTGTTTTCTGTTGAACAACTCTTGTTGGAAGTCTATTCAAGAGATACACTGTTGTATAGACAGCTTCAGCCCAAAAGCTCTTTGGTAGCTTCTTTTTTGCAATCAAGCATCTTGCCATTCTACAACCGTTCTGTTTTTTCTCTCAGAAACTCCATTCTGTTTAGGAGTGTAGCTGATGTCAATTGATGAATAATCCCCATTTCTTCACAAAATATATTGAATTCATTGGAGGTATACTCCTTCCCGTTGTTTGATCTCAACACTTTAATATTGCAGCCACTTTAAGACTCCACCATAGCTCTAAACCTTTTAAAAACATTAAAAGTTTGAGCTTTCCTTGATAAAAAAAAATACACCAATGTCATTCTTGTAAAATCGTCAATAAACAAGATGAAATACTTGTTTTGGCTCAAAGAAGGTATGCTCATTGGACCACACAAATCAGTGTGAACAAGCTCCAACTTGCTCTTTGCCCTTGTAACATTTGCTGCTGAAAAAGACTTTCTATGCATTTTTCCCAATTGACAAGCATCACATAAATCATCAAGACTACCCATCATAGGCATGTCTCTCACCATATCATGAGTTTGCAAAAATTTCAATGCATCCATATTAAAATGACCATATCTTTTGTGTCATAGTGCGGAATCATCATGTTTAGAAACAAGTGCAGATTGTTTCACTGGATTCAAACTGATTTGATTGGGAAGCTATTATCACACATTTGAACATTAATAACTTTAGAATCATTTGAATCTAATATGGTGCAACCATTATTTTTGAAAGAAAGAGAATATCCTCTTTTAATTAATTGAGCAATACTTAGCAAATTCTAATCCAAATCTAGAATTAATAAAACATCATAAATAAATTTAGGACCTTTGCTAGTGTGAACAGAAACAGTACCTCTTCCTTTAGCTTGTACAATATCTCCATTTCCAAGCTTGACTTTGGTTCTAATAGCCTTGTCTAAAAAGGTGAAGAGACTTGAGTCTCTTGCCATGTGATTTGTGCATCCACTATCAACATACCATACATTCTTTGAACCTGAACTACATGCTTGGGTAGCCATAAATAAGTGTTCTTCAGATTGCTCATCAGAGAAGTTGACTTAATGTGCAGGTTGTGGGTGAGATCGATTCTGCTTAAATCGACAGTACCTTTCTTTATGTCCCCACTTCTTGCAATTATGACATTGAATATAAGGCTTCCCCTTATACCAACAATCTTTAGACAAGTGGTTTGTCCTTTTACATTTAGTGCAAGGAGGAAAATGGTCCCTTGCTGCAGATTCGATTGAACTCTCATCCTGTTTGCCTTTTCCCTTTTTATCACCTCTTTTTTTTATATTGTTGCTTCTTTTGATCTTTTTGTACAGGTTGTTTCCCCTTATGTCTTGCTTGAAATGCACCTTCAGTTATATCATCCATCCTCATAGAAAATCTTTGTTCATGAGCATGCAACTTACTCACCATCTCAGAAACAGTTAGTTTCTTAAGATCACATGATTCTTCAATTGCAGCAACTTTGGCTTCAAATTTGTCAGGTAGGCTAATCAACATTTTCTGAACCACCTTGCTGTCATCCACAACTTCACCATACAACCTCATTTGATTCACCAAATGGGACAGCTTTGAAGTGTACTCCTTGACTGATTCATTCTCCTTCATTTTTAGCATCTCAAACTCTCTTTTAAGAGTCAAGAGCTTGATGGACCGTACCCTTTCATCACCTGCATGTCTCTCATTTAGTTCATCCCATATTTGCTTAGCTATTTCCATATGCATAATACTGGTAAACACATCATCTGCCAAGGCTGAATGTAAACACAAAACAGCTTTCTCCCTTTTCAAGGTCTCCTCCTCATGTTGCCTAAT